GTAATTAAAAGTCCACCATAAATTGATGCAAAAAAAAAAAGTGACAAAGTGCCAAGATGTAAAAAACATCAGTGATAAGTCCTTCCTATAGCTGTAGTGTGCAAACTCCCGGTGCCTGAAAAACACTGCACTCGCCAGACTTCCATATTCTTCCAACTTAGCGTGTCCCAACCTCAGTGCGTGTCCAGTGGAGGTTTGGGACACGCTGAGTTGGAAGGATTTTAATTGTGTGATTATTCGACTGGCTTGTTCATGACGGATTGGAATATTTTTTGAAAAAGCGATTGTTTCTGGGAATCTTGTAAGTGTTTTTAAACGTTTTTTAAATGAAAACCTGTTTTGGCATATTACACTATGTGTTTATTATCCTCTCTGGGGAACGGATACGTTTTTTAAACGACCACACATGAACCGGAAGCTTTCTAGTGAAAGAGCACAGAGTGGAGGAGGAAGTTCCTATTGCGAGTGGAGGAGCAAACGTTCACTGTGATTGCGATCCGTGATTGTTATGCCTCTTTGAATATGGAAGTCCGGCGAGTGCAGTGTTTTTCACAGTCACCGTGAAAGTTTGAACACTACAGCTATAAGGTCTCATTCACACCTAGGCGTATTGCATATGCGCGTCTGTCGTGCGTTTTTTAAACCGCGATTCGCGGTAAAAAAAAGTCGCGTGACCGTCGCGCGTTTCCGAATGCTACTTGGCTGTATCCCAATGGAAACGCGCAACAAAACGGCCCAAAGTAGTACCTGTACCTTTTCAGGCGTGGGCCATTTTGTAGCACGTTAGGGACGGGCGGAAATACGCCAAGGTGGGAGCGAGACCATTGAAGACAATGGGATTTATATTTTTGAGCGTTTTGTAGAGCGTTCGTCGAGCGTAGAACGCGCTACAAAACGTTCAGGTGTGAACCAGGGCTAAGAAGGACTTATCACTGATGTTTTTTATACCTTGGCACTTTGTCACTTTTTTTTGTCCCTTTTTCTTTTTACATTAATTTATGGTGGACTTTTATTTACCAATTTGCACCTAATCTCTACTGTTGATATTACAATGAGAGATACGTTTTACTATTTATGAGTATTTATTAATGATATCAGTTATATGTGATCTATTTGATACTTAGCATTATATTATTCACGCACCGTGTTTCCCCCGAAAATAAGACAGTGTCTTATTTTATTTTTTTCACGGAAAAAGACACTAGGTCTTAGAAGCTGGTTACAGCATGCGCACTGTATCCAGCGACTGACTGGTTACACGAAAGGTCTTAAACCTTTACACTCAAAAATCTAATTCTACCAATGCACGCCTCTATGTATGATGATTAATAATAACATAGACATGTCAGGTGTAAATTGCTGTAATTTAAAAAAGAAATAAATTTACAGAGCATTCACTTCCTGCTTTGAAAGGGCAAAGTGATTTCAGTTTGCCAAAGAAATGCACACTGGGATTGCCTTGTCATCAGCAGATCATTGCTGGGAAATCTCTGTAATCTCAGGGAAAGGCATTTTCCGCCCCTGAGATGATGTTCATGGTCACATGTCCTAGTCACATGTGCCAGAAATCCAGGAAGTAAAAAGGAGAGCTAGTAATCTGCCCTTAGTAAACATGGCCACTGCCAGAAGACTGGGGAAGAAAAGAGAAATAAGGTATTCAAAGAATACAAAGCCTGCAATTATCTAGAAGTATTTGTTTTGCAGATTGGCATTACTAAACATTTCTAAAGGTGTGTTTATTTTAAAGATATGGGTAAAATTCCACTTTAAACAGGAAGGGGTGGAACAAATATAGATTGGGAGGTGATGCCTAAGTTTAGTTTTGCCTAGGGCAGTACAAAACCAGAATACAACACTGGCATGTCAACTATGGTTTCTGACCGTTCTCTTCCTATCAGCATGTTCCTTGTTAGCACATGTGCATGCTTCAATGTGATACTAAGGCCCCGTTCACATATAGCGAATTGTCGCGCGATTTCCGCCGCGATATCGCGCATTTTTGCCGCGCGATATCGCGAGAAGTCGCCGGCCAATGTTATTCAATGGAGCTGTCTTAACTCCATGTCGCGGTCGCAAGTCGCTTCTACCGGACCCTTTTTTCGGCGGATTTTGCGCGATTTTACTTTTTTTCTATGGAGCCCGACGGGGAAGGTCGCGCTACCGTCGCTGGATCGTCGCTGGAACGTCGCCCCGAAAGTCGCGCTATCCCGGCCGTATACACGCGCTGCAAAAGGTATCTCGCTATATGTGAACGGGGCCTTAGATCACTGCAGTTTTGTCTTTTGCAACAACAAAACCTTTGTGTAAGCCCATTGTGGCAAATTCAGGGGTTTGCTTGGCAGGTATGAAGCAGCATTCCACTGAAGATCCACAAAACATCATTTTACTAGATGTGACCGGATTTTTGCCTAAGTTTACACGAAAAAATGTCAGCTATTGGACTCTGTACTATTTGATTTGAGTTTTTCTGGTCTTACACGCTACTGGTGAGGACTCCCCACAGGAAGTTCAGTTATTTTGCTTTTGTAGGCCAATTCTACCCAGCAGCAGCAATTTGGTGTTGGGGTGAGATTTAAGCAAAGGTGGAAAATAAAGTGTAGGCCTTACAGACATCCCAGGGAAATATGGGAAGACTTTGGGTAATGGGTTTCCAAACTGAAGCATCATCATTTGTTCTGGGTGGACTGATTTTTTTTTTCTCCTCCTACCCCTTGGGGCAATTTCATAGTCCCTGCATGAGCTAGTGAAGTGAACTAGAAGTGTATTTTTTTAAGTAATCTTAATCCTAACTGAAATTATCCATTTTGTAGGAAATGAAGGTAGATACTTCACTGCCATAATGCTGAAAAAATCCAGAGCAAAACTAGTAAGCCAAGAAATTGTTCCTTTTCCAACAACTTCCATGATGAGGAATTTATTGGTGGTTAATGTAAGTTATAACCTTGGCAAAATCATCTAGTGAGATAAAAATGCATTTTTCATATATGCATATATACATTGCATACCAAGACTATATACAGGTATGCATGTGGCTTACTGTCCTAGGCCTGAAGTTTTCCCAGGTTCAAATAATCAAGACATCATATGGCTGCATAATCATTGTAACTGATACCCCATTGTTATTAATCTAGTGCAGCATTTTACTATGTCCATCTGTATGTGTGCATCTGTTTGCCTGTCTGTATGTTTACCTGAATAAGTGTATCTGTAGGTGTGGGTTTCTTTGTATATACACTATATTACCAAAAGTATTGGGACGCCTGCCTATACACGCACATGAACTTTAATGGCATCCCAGTCTTAGTCCGTAGAGTTCAATATTGAGTTGGCCCACCCTTTGCAGCTATAACAGTTCCAACTCTTCTGGGAAGGCTGTCCACACGGTTTAAGAGTGTGTCTATGAGAATGTTTGACCATTCTTCCAGAAGCGCATTTGTGAGGTCAGGTACTGATGTTGGACGAGAAGGCCTGGCTTGTAGTCTCTGCTCTAATTCATCCCAAAGGTGTTCTATCAGGTTGAGGTCAGGTCTCGTGCAGGTCGGTCAAGTTCCTCCACCCCAAACTTGCTCTCCCATGCCTTTATGGACCTTGTTTTGTGCACTGGTGCGCAGTCATGTTGGAACAGGAAGGGGCCATCCCCAAACTGTATCCACAAAGTTGGGAGCATGAAATTGATCAAAATGTCTTGGTATGCTGATGCCTTAAGAGTTCCCTTCACTGGAACTAAGGGGCCAAGCCCACCCCCCTGCAAAAACAACCCCACAGCATAATCCCCTCTCCACCAAGTTTTACACTTGGCACAATGCAGTCAGGCAAGTACCGTTCTCCTGGCAACCACCAAACCCAGACACGTCCATCGGATTGCCAGACAGAGAAATGTGATTCGTCACTCCAGAGAACACGTCTCCACTTCTCTAGAGTCCAGCGGCGGCGTCCTTTACACCACTGCATCCAACACTTTGCATTGCACTTGGTGATGTAAGGCTTGGATGCAGCTGCTCAGCCATGGAAACGAATTCCATGAAGCTCTCTACGCACTGTTGTTGTGCCAATCTGAAGGCCACACGAAGTTTGGAGGTCTGTAGCTATTGACTCTGCAGACAGTTGGTGACTTCTGCGCACTGTGCGCTTCAGCATGCGCTGACCCCATTCTGTCATTTTACTTGGCCTACCACTTTGTGGCTGAGTTGCTGTTGTTCCCAGTTGCTTCCACTTTGTTATAATGCCACTAACAGTTGACCGTGGAATATTTAGTAGCAAGGGAATTTCACGGAACACCTGAATCCAATGATTTAGAGGGGTGTCCCAATACTTTTGGTAATACCGGTATAGTGTATGTTTGCTTGAGTATGTATTCCTGTATAGACATGTGTATTTGTGCATATGTACATCTCTAGGGGGCATGTTTAAAAAAATATTGAATGTGAAATTTACCAAATTATCACTGCATATGAATCTTCCTGGTGATTTTTTTTTTCTTCTTATATTCCCTAAATTTATATGAGACAAACGCAATAAAATCCAATTTTTTGGGGGTAAAATATAAAAGATGAGGTTGCATTGAATAGATGGATACCTAATATATCAAGGCACACTATTTTGCACGCTCTTAAAACAACGAAAAACGACTGAATCCAATATTGTGAAGGGTGCTTCGGAAGGACAGAGGTAATGTGAGAATAGACTGTAGACCAAGAGAAAGGGACCTGAAAGCAAGAATGCTTTAGATCCTTCTACTGAAAAACTATTCTGGCTTATATTGCCTGCAGGTGATGAAAGCCTTCTAGCATTGCTACATGGAAGTCTAGATGCTTCCAGGCAATCACAGCTGAAGTGTTAAGCTGGCCATACACCTTACAATTATCTGCAGATTTTCTGTGGTCAGATGGAAAAGGTGCAACAGATTCCTCCATCTACACTTAACTGTGTGGATGGAGTAATCTCCACCTGGGCCAAGCTTCCGTAATCCTGCTAGTCGGCCCCGCTGGCTCTCAAAACACCTGAACATTGCCTGCATCCAATCAGATTGTTCAGGTATGTTGACAGCCAGCGGGGCCGACTAGCAAGATACTGAAGCTTGGCTCGGTGGGAGATTCCTTCATCCACACAGTGTAGCGTAGATGGAGGAATCTGTTGCACTTTTTCCATCTGACCACAGAAAATCTGCAGATAATTGTAAGGTGTATGTGCACCTTAAGACTTCAGACATCTGTTTCGCTTGCTCTACCGGGAAAGGATCCACCGGATCCAGTGGAGAGATCTCCTTTGAAAGATTTAGAGTATTCTGCCATGGTTTGCCAGAGTAGGGTGTAGGGCAGCGCCCGCCTGCAAGAACTGGGTTCTAAAGAGGGATTCTGACTTTTGGGCAGTAGAATCCTTGAATGTAAGTATGCTCTGAACTAGTCTAGTGTAAAGGTGGGTCACTAGCATATACACAGCGCGTATAGACCACTGTTTAATAAAATCCTTGCCAAACAGGAACAAATCCAGCAAGCACTCAGGAAATATCCAGGACCCATTGTGGTGTACCGAACCACATAGAGAAGCGGTTCCCAACCTGGGGCAGTACTGGCGGGGGCACAAAAAAATGCTAATGGCAGATAGGCTGTGGAGCAGTAGACAGGGACAACATAATTAGCAGTACTTCACTCCATCTGTAGTTCCGGCCTGCACGTCAGTCCCCCTGCAGATTGATATTCTGGGTGGGGGGCAGAGCCTGGAGATGAGCCAAGACAGTGTTGCTGCTGGAGTCTGAGTAACATTACACTGTGAATCAGTGTTGCGTATTGCACTGATTGTATATCTGTGGTGCTCCACAGCAATTGGCACTGTTGCGATACATGCTGCAACCATTAACGTTTCAGTACGGTACTCTCCACATGGCACTATTTATCCTGCCCCCTTACTCTGTCCCTGCCCAAACACCCCTCACACACTTAGGAGAGGGGGGTAACATTATTGTAAATGGGCTGTTAAAGGGGTGCCCAAATCAAAACAGTTTGGGGACCACTGCCATAGAGGAACACTTCAAAAAGTGGGTGCAATGGGAAGATTTCTTGCAGCTGTAAGAGCTCTGAAAGACTCAAAACTGGAGACAGCAGGCTGATCCTCCAAATGAAGGTGAGTAGTATGTACTGCATCAGTAAGAGCCAAAACTGTCATCAGGGAGAGACAGAGGCAACTCATCTCGCAAATTGTCACAAGATGGTAACAGCCTGATGGTCTAGCCGCAGGCAGTTCTGGTATAGATTCTGCAGATGAAGGTGCAAAAGCGTGCATAGAGCCATAGAGATAAGGGAGGGGATTCTCCCAATCTGGCTGGATACAGACATGTTGCAATTGAGTGGGGGTGAAGCAACTAAATTTGGGCTATGAGGCAAGGCCTCAGGTACCCACAAAACCTTGGTAACTGGTGGTGGCCAGATGACTTGAGATGACAAGTCACTGTAGGCATGCAGTAGGAACAGAGTGGAGATTGTATTTCACTGTGCCTCCTTGCAAAGCAGAAGTAGCAATGGGGAGATGCTTCCTTGACGCTGAATGGCGAGAGACAAAGTGCGTGACACTCCACCTTGAATGGCGTCTGGAAAACACCTTGCATGGGAGTCAGTGCCTGACGGTTGCTACTAGGCTAGCTCTGCAACATCCAGTCCAGTGCGGTCCAGACATGACATCCCTAATCTAGGATGAAAAAAGGCTGCTCCAGTTAGCTGCAATTTTAGAGACCAGCTCAAGCAGTGATTTAGAGCAGAATCTTGGTTGAAGAGAAAAAAGAATCGAAGAAAATAAATGTTGGCAAAAAATTAGGTTATGCTTTTATTAACTGAGACTTTTCATCCTCCCGACATTTTGATAGTAGGAGCGGTTATGCTTAATTGCTAGTGTACAATCCTCCTGTAGACGGCAGTATAACCCAAAGGTAAAGACTTCCTGTGAAATCTACTTTCACTTTGATCAATCATAACTGAACCACAGTTCTGCTTTAATAACGCAATACCCTCTTGTGCTTCTATTTGTGTATACATGCTGGAAAGATTTATGGACAAACGTTGCATTTCTACAATATTGCTGCCTTTGCAGATTTACTCCAAATTCCTTTTTTTTGGGCTGCTTATTCTTCTAAGAATGTGCTCTTTCAAATGATTGCATCTTTGATTGTTTCCCTGTTGGCTCAGCTATTGTTTAGCCAATGATAGGCTAGTATCCCAAACTCCAGCTTATCCCCGCCTCCCCTCATTTACTACATATCTGGCCAGCTCTTACCTTTATAGACTTCTCGGTATTTGCCCTAATGTGTTCCTATTATTCATCCTGGGTGTATAATGAAGCTACTGCTCCCTTCTAGGTAAAACTCTGTGGCAATGACATCTGCCTCATGACTTCCCACTTAGAAAGCACCAAAGAGCATGCAAAGGAACGGCTGAAGCAGCTGGGCGTTGTACTGCAGAAGATTTTGGAGGTTCCATCATCAACTACTGTGATATTTGCTGGTGATACTAACCTAAGAGACCAAGAGGTCGGTATAGTATATACTAATGTTGCCTATTTATGGGTTTGACATGTCTGTGTGACCCTATAAATTACAGGATGCCATGCACAGTTTAAGGCTGAATTCACACCAAATGTGTTGGGGCTTTGCTGGCATTTTTTCCAGTGCAGCCCCAACGCAAGACAAGGCAATTTGGGTTGTCACAGATGGGCTCAGTTCATACCACTGCATTGCAACGCGGCGCTGTGCCCATAGAACTTAATAAAATGTTACCTTTCAATAAAGTTCTACCAAAAAAGTAACTAGTATGATGTGCCAGGATCTGTGCATCAGCACTATGACTGCTGACGCAAACAAATGGCTGTGCTGGATTAAATGCAGCCTTAACAAATAAAAGTATGTAGACAGGGGGAAAATGACTGTAAGAAAAGAACACGGCAAAAAGAATTCCTCAAACATGGGTTGCTTTACTTCAAATAAACACAACAATAAGCAATAATATATGATTTGTTTTATTACTTGAATATTAGATAAACAAAAATTTCCCCTCCCTCAAAAGTAAAACCCATTTCTCTGGCTTGTCCAGAAGGTAGGTTACCTTTGCTTACTTCTGGAAATGCTAATTACTTAGCTGTCTCCGGCTTCAGTAAGTCACTGATACAAATCCAAGTGTACTCAAATGAAATGAATGTATTTGTGATTAATGAATTTGTGATTTGGATCTTTGTTCTGGATCAGTGAGCCTTTAAATTAGCATGTCAGCCAGGCAATTAGCATTTTCAGAATTGGTGGTCAACAGTGGCTGTCACCTTATTCTTGCAGCACAGAATTCCTTTAAGGAGGTTGCAAACTTAAGAGCTGAACTCCACATAATCTACTAAATAAACAGTAGAAATGTGTATATATAGGAGCCGTTGTAGCTGAAAATGTATGTGTATTTATGTCCAGTCAAGTTCTGAGGATTGAGTTGCCTCCCTGCCCCAGCTTATGATTGGATAGTGAAGGATCATAAACTGACTGAGGTCAACTCTCTGATCTTGTCTGCACATGACAATGCAGGACTAATGATTGGACCTAGGCATTGGCCCTCCCTTTCCCAGTCTAAGTGCTGGTGTAAGAAAGGAGTACAAGAGGCTGAAATAGTCATGTTCAAGTGCTCTTACAAATTAATTTTCATATCTGCGTGGAGTTCAGCTTCAAAGCCAGATTTTGATTGTCTGTGGGCAAATTTTCCCTCTTTCTGTCCCTCAATATTAAGCAGTCCTCCGAATGTAATGCTGTTCCCTGGTTTGGGTTTGAGGGATTGCCCCTCTCTTTTGACCTGAGACAGGAAGGGAGAAGAGATCTCAAAAGGGGACACATCAATGAAAACCTAGCTGGTTCTAACCATTCCCCGCTCTAAATTCCAAAGAAAATGACTGGAGATGCTTTCATATAGACACTTTACACTGACCAGAGACATAATCTTGTTTCATTGACAGGTTAAAAAGATAGGCGGCCTGCCCAGTCCCATCATGGATGTTTGGGAATTTCTGGGGAAGCCTGAACATTGCCGTTATACATGGGACACAAAAATGAACAACAACTTGAAGATTCCAAACAGCTGCAGGCTGCGTTTTGACCGAATACTGTACCGCTCTGCTCTAGATGGCGGCCAAGTCATTCCTCAGTCTTTGGATTTGCTTGGCACTGAAAAACTGGACTGTGGTCGATTTCCCAGTGACCACTGGGGGTTATTGTGTGATTTCAATGTGATCTTATGAGTTTTAAATAATTGTTAATATTAAACTGTCTTAACCCTTTCGCTGCCAAGCCCTCCAGAACATTTTTCAAATCAGCTGGCCAAGCCATTTTTGCAATTTTTTCCTATTGATTTGATTTTCAACTGCTGCGTTGCTAGCGTTTGTAAAAGACCCCCCAAACCATATATTTTCTGAAAGCGCAGGCCCGGTAGAATAAAAAGATGGTGATACTAAATTTGTAGGCCCTGCGATAATTGCGCAAATGTTTCTCAAATTAATAATAAACCAATAAAAATACACAATCCAATTGTTAAAACACACCAAAATCAGTATCCGTGCACAAAAAAAATTATTTTCTGATTAACTCTAAAAGATAAAACTGTATTGAGTTAATAAATAACAAATATTAACAAATTTGTAATTGCGCCTTTTTGCGAAAAGGTAAAAAAATGAAGGTATGCAAAACTGTAAATCGACTTATGTAAAAAATTGTTTTGGTGTTTGTGTTGTGATAAAATGATACAGGTGTATATTTAATTGCAACACAAGGTATCACAACGCATGGCAATTAGTCACAAAGCTTTGCCATGCGCTGCCACAGTTAATGTAATGTTTTTTTAAAAGAAAATAAATAAAAAAGATCATGTATTGTGATGCGTTCTAACAACGCACTGCAGCGCATGTGCATGGTATTCAGCATCTCCTGGTTATCTAGTAACCAGGTGACGCTGGACTGTCATTACACACTGAGAACCTGACGGAGCCGCCATATCACGGTGGCTCCACCAGGTTCTCAATGTGTAATGACAGTTCAGCATCTCCTGGTTACCTAGTAACCAGGGGACGCTGGACTGCCATTACACACCGAGAACCTGGCGGAACCGCCATTATATCCCAGCGGCTCCGCCAGGTTCTCAGTGTGCAATGACAGTTCAGCATCTCCTGGTTACCTAGTAACCAGGCGCCCTGGACTGTCATGAGAGCTTGTCGGAGCCGGCTTTGATATGACCGCCGGTTCCGACAAGCTCTCATTTTAATGACAACTGGTCCCGTGCAATAGAAAAAGTTTGGCGGAGCTAGCTGTCACTGCTAGCTCCGCCCAATCATTTTCTCATTTTTCTCTACTTTTTCTATTCTGCTCGGTACCACAGAGGTACCGAGCAGAATAGAATAGCTGAGCCGAAGGGCGCTCTCCGGCATTCGGCTATTCACTCACTGCTGTTTGGGCCCTATGAGAATAGGCCGAACAGCAACGAGTAGCCTGCCGGAGGTTCGGCTAAGCCGATCCAGATGTTGGATTAGCTGAGTCAAACTCCTTCTGCACTTCGGCCGACCCAAACCCAGCCGCAGCAAGCCGTTGTACGGCTGATTTCAGTCGGTGTACGGCTGAAATCAGCTGTACAAGCCTGAAGTGAATAGCCAAACGGCGTTCGGCTCACTTCACTTCGTGTTGGTTATTCACACGGCTGCCTTCGGCAGCTTTGTGAATAACCCCCTATGTGTCCCCAGTTATTTACAAACACCGGAGTGATCACGCGATCACTCCGGTGTTTGTGCTGCACAGAGGATCGGTAAATATCAATGATACTTATCGATCCTCCGTACGGCCACGCACAGAGCCGCTGTCATCCGGAAACTGACAGGATGACAGCGGCATCGTTCTACTCACCGCTCGGCCATCCTGAAACTTGTGGCTTCTCCCCGCCAGCCGACGCTTGCAACTCTGCCCCACCCCCCAACCCTGGAGATTTTTTTATCCCCGTTGCCGCAGCCCCTACAAGCGGGGGTCAGCAGCGTGGATCCATCGAGTCACAGATCCCTGCCTGGCTCCAGATGTCGGCAACTTTTCCCATTGATTTGATTTTCAACTGCTGCGTTGCTAGCGTTTGTAAAAGACCCCCCAAACCATATATTTTCTGAAAGCGCAGGCCCGGTAGAATAAAAAGATGGTGATACTAAATTTGTAGGCCGTGCGATAATTGCGCAAATGTTTCTCAAATTAATAATAAACCGATAAAAATACACAATTCGATTGATAAAACCCTAAAATCAGTATCAGTGCACAAAAAAAAAAAATTCTGACTAAATCTAAAAGATAAAACTGTATTGAGTTAATAAATAACAAATATTTGCAAATTTGAAATTGCGCCTTTTTGTGAAAAGGTAAAAAAATTACGATACGCAAAACTGTAAATAAGCGACTTATGTTAAAAATTTGTTTTTACGCTGTGTTGGTGTTTGTGTTGTGATAAAATGATACAGGCGTATATTTATTGCAACACAAAGATCACAACGCATGGCAATGCGTCACAAAGCTTAGCCATGCGCTGCCACAGATCATTTATTTATTTTTTTAAAGAAAAAAATACATTAAAAAAAAATCATGCGATGCGTTCCAACAACACACTGCAGCGCATGTGCATGGCGTACACCTCAATATGTGTATGTTATGTGGGGGGAGGGAGGGGTTGTGCTTTTTTTTTAATTAGTTTTTTGTACACTTTTTTTGATGATAGCAGTCATCAGCGGCTTGTGAGCCGCTGATGACAGCTATTAATTTGAAGGGGACAGTCCGGGGAACAGTTCTACTATAAGCTCATGGTCGCTAGAGCGACCATGAGCTTATAGTAGAACTGTAAATGCCAGGTCCGTACGGCATACTGAGCTGGCCAGCCGGAAGCACTTTTGTACCTCCGTATGGCGTACGTCCTTGGCAGCGAAAGGGTTAAACACAACAAGAATTTTGATTTTTTTTTTACTTGCCCTCTAAGCAAAGCATTTGTTCTACCTTGAAAACTATATCCACATAGATGTTGTGTGCTTAATAACTAGGAAGTGGATGTGGAGGTGCGTTGCAGGGCCATTCATTTCAATGGCACCCCAATGCACTTCCCACCCGGAGTGTGATCACCCGCACTGGAACGCGCTGTGCTTTGCAGTGCGACTAAAAAAAAAATGATGCATGCAGTTTTATTCTGAAGTAAACTTTGTAGTACTGCATTTGTGTATTTTATTTATAATTAACCACTTCCGGGCCACAATACCTCTATAGATGGCGGCCCGCAGAAGTGGTTAAAACATAGCTGCTGCACCAGCCGTGTTCTTGGTGTCATTTTTAACAGCCGGCGATGGCTGTTAATGTACAAGTGATTCGGCGTCTATACAGCCGCCGGATTATTTGTACTGTGAGGCTTGACATGTTTAGTATCTACAGTTGTGTGAAAAAGTGTTGGCCCCCTTCCTGATTTGTCATTGTTTTGCACGTTTGTCACACGTTAATGTTTCAGATCATCAAACAAATTTAAATATTAGTCAAAGATAACACAAGTAAACACAACATAGCAGGCTCTATAGTATCCATAGGTGGGACTCCCAAACCCCCCTTTGTCTTGGGGGTTTTCAAGAGGGACCACGACACTCTCTGATGTTTATCCTGCCAAATAAAGCGTCTGAATTCCGCATCTACATGTGTAAAGAACGACCCTGGAATTCAGATCGGAATTGTCTGGAACATATAGAGCAACTTTGGCAGAACAATCATCTTAACCAGGGCGGCCCTCCCGAACCAGGATACAGAAAGAGGCCTCCAGCTCTGGAGATCCCGCTTTACCGTCGCTAGGAGCGGTTGGAAATTTAGACTGAACAGATCTGCAATGGAGGAAGTGAGGTATATCCCCAGATATTTTATGGCCTTTCGCTCCCATCGTACTCGGAATAAGCTCTGCAGGTCTGTAGATCCTCCTCCTACATCATTCAGGGCTAAGGCCTCAGATTTCCTGTAATTGATGGAGAGGTTAGACAGGTCCCCATATTCTTTAAACATTTGCAATAGCTTCACCATGGAGGTTCGTGGGTCCGTCAGGAAAAACAGCATGTCATCCGCATAAGCTGCCACCTTATGCTCTGTGCCTCGCTGACCGACCCCCTTCACCTCCGGTTCGGCCTGTACCAGACGAAGAAACGGTTCCAGTGTCAATATGAAGATGATGGGTGATAGGGGACAACCCTGTCTTGTACCGTTTGTAATTGCAAACGGAGCGGAAATGGAGCCCGTGGTACGGACCCTAGCCCACGTGTCTGAGTAGATTGCCCCCATCCAACCCATCATCTGTCGGCCAAGACCCATATGCTTAAGGACTTCCGTCATGAAATCCCATGCGACCCTGTCGAATGCCTTCTCTGCATCTGTAGAAAGCACAATCGCCTGTACCCGCCCTGCCTCTGCTAGGTGGATAAGGTTGATTGCCTGTGTCGTGTTGTCTCTGGCCTCTCGGCCAGGGACAAAACCCACCTGCTGTTCACCCACCAAAGTTGGGATGTGCGGGAGAAGGCGATTCGACAGGATCTTGGTGAACAATTTCAAGTCTACATTAAGCAAGGATATGGGCCTATAGCTCGAGCAGATCTGGGTGTCCTTGCCTTCTTTGGGGATGACCGTAATGTGCGCTTCCAATGACTGGCGAGGGAGGGTAGTTCCCCCACGAATGCCATTGAAAGCTGCGAGGAAGTGCGGCCCTAGGAGATCTTTATAACTCTTGTAATACTGGGACGGTAATCCATCAGGGCCCGGGCTCTTCCATGGTGCCGACCCCCGGACGGAAAGGAAGCGGAGGCGAAGGTATAGGAAGTTAGAGAAGGAAACAGCTAAAGTACAACTATAAAGTCCCTGACCTGCACAGAAGTGGGTCTAGGTCTTATGCAGAAGTAGTAAACAATAGAACAGAACAATGGCAAGAGAAGTACCCCTACCTCAGGCCAAATGACAGCTGGAGGGGAGAAATCATCCACTCCAGGGCCGCGCCCGGGTTTTAGTGTACAGGGGATGTTAGGGGGTGATGCCTTGCTTCGGGCACGTAGCCTTCAGCAAGTCTCCCCACTTCGGGATCCGAGGTCTACCTACACGAAAAACCAATAACAGGAACCAGAGATCCGGCCTCCCAAGGGAGGGGACCCACAATTCGCAAGCATATATTACAACAATTGGACAAGTGAACATTCTAACTTATGAACGTATAAACATC